GGGCGTCGGCTGTTGCTAATAAGTATTGGCGACGGCCCGCATCCGTCAGCAATGTTTTCTCGTCGCCCTTGGTCATGGGCGACGGTCAACACCCGTAGTCAATGCAAACATTGGCGATGGGGTATTGGCGATGGATTTGATATCCGTCGCCAATACCCCATCGCCAATGCCCTATTTTTTACTAGTGGTAGTTTTCTAAAAATCTGTGGTAGTTTTGTAATTTGGCAAACCCCACCTCCCAAAGTCCATGGTAGTTTTCTGAAATTTGTCCTATAAATTCAAGATATGTAGTCTCAACTGATATAGGAGCACCATATCTACAACAAACAATGATGATCAACTTCTACAATTCCAACATGTTTTCTTTTAAACTGATAAGAGCATCACCTTCTCGCTACAAAGTGAAAATTTTATCTGTTGACCTTTTAAAAGATGAACCAAAATGAACAGAACAATTTCATCTTCTGATCTTTAAATCCAACAGCATCATCTTTGTTTGGCATAGAGGCTAAAAAACCCGCATGGGAAACCACTAATCATGCTCCCAAAAAGCCCAAGTGATTAAGCATTTCATTGTACAAAGCCATCTGAAAGCAAACCTATAGAAGATAATACTCATTTCTTTATGAATAGAAAGTTGGCAACCAATAATTTTCGTGTCAGCTTCCTGCATAGTACTCTTGAAACACTCCATTTCTCTTGGCTCATCAGAATCAAACAAATCAAGAAACGTGGAGAGGAGAATACGCGCAAATTTATTTTTCTAATATTTCACAAGCAAAGAGGACGTTGTACACTTAACGGAACCATTAATATGCAGGTTGCAAGCGAGTCTATGGCAGATCAAACATCTGCGCATGAAATCACCAGCTCAGTGGATTAAAGTGTGACACAAAATCAAAGGAGTTGATTATCATGTATTCATCGTCTCATGAACAGTCAAAAAATAATTTTTTTAAAGAAGTGTAAGAAGTTGAAGCGTTGTATTAAGAACACGGCATAAATTATTAGCAAAACAATTATATAAAACTTATCTAATAGCAGTAATCAGGAAGTGTGGTTGAAATATAAAATCCTATCTGGCAAAATTGTCAGTGATTAAATAGTGCTAAACCCTCTTATTCTTCAGAGACAATCTTAAGATGAGGCCAAATTTGGAAAACATAGTATTCTTTATTCCTTGAGCTGACAAACACTTAATAGGTCTCCTTTTTCTCATTATTGATGGCAATAACATAAGCGCTGCATGATTTACACCGTTCTTGTCTTATTCCGTCTATTAATCAGAAAAGAAATTTCCTTTGCTGTCTTGTGTCAAGAAAACAGAACCCTACCTCGTAATTGGCATCTCTCAACCATTATATCAACTCTCAGCAATCAATCCTTCAAGCCATCCACATCCTCAGGACCTGAGATACTCCCATGGCCCTTTACTTAGCTCTCCTCTTCTTCTTGCTATCAAATCTTACTCATTTTTCAAGCCATGGCAAGCTTCTCCCAGTGGTCAATGATCAAGGAGGCAATCCTGGCCAGACGCAAACCTACATCGTTCATGTAGTAAACACCAAGGAAGCTGAGCTTCTCAGCGATATAGATCTTGAAAGGTGGTACGAATCCTTTCTACCTAACAACACTCTAGACTCGGGAGCACCTCGTTTGGTGTACTCGTATCGACACGCAATCAGCGGTTTTGCTGCGAGGCTAACTCCTACAGAAGTGAAGGCTATGGAAGGTAAGGAAGGCTTTTTATATGCCCACCCTGACAAGCTCTATCACCTTGAAACCACTTATACCCCTGAGTTCTTGGGGTTGAGCAAGCCATTCGGAGGAGCATGGGATGGCACCATGTATGGCGAAGGCATCATAATCGGAATTATTGACTCTGGAATTTTTCCGAACCATCCTTCTTTTAGCGACAATCTAATGCCTCCTCCACCTACTAAATGGAAGGGTAAGTGTTATTACCTCAGTTGCAATAATAAGATCATCGGTGCAAGAGCATTCCGAAACGGAACCAGTCCTTCCCCATTAGACACAGCAGGGCATGGGACCCACGTGGCAGGCACGGCTGCAGGCAATTTCGTGGATGATGCCAACGTTCTTGGGACGGCCAAAGGTAAGGCTGCTGGAATGGCACCTAAAGCTCACCTAGCTATCTACAAAGTGTGCTTCGAGGATGGCTGTTGGGGGGGTGATACACTTAAAGCCATAGATCAGGCTATCACGGATGGAGTCGATATAATCTCCATGTCACTTGGTGGTAGAGATAATGACACATTCTATTTTGATCCAGTCGCAAAAGGGTCACTAGCAGCATTCAAGAAGGGAATCTCCAATTGTGCATCCGCAGGCAATAGTGGCCCTGAAAAAAATACATTGGCCCTTAGTGCCCCGTGGGTTTTGACAGTAGGAGCGAGCTCAACTGACAGAAGAATAAGCGCAATTGTAAAGCTCGAAAATGGAATGGAAGTACAAGGAGAAACTGCCTTTCAACCCCTATCTTACAATTCCTCCGAATATTTACCCATTGTATTTCCTTACAAATATAGTGGGGATGTTGATGCTTTGTTTTGCCTAAAGCAGCAATCAAGTTCAACTACGCACAATATGGATTCAGACCATCTCCAGCAGTCGCTTCTTTCTCCTCTAGGGGTCCAAGCGAGATGAACGGTGACATCCTGAAACCAGATGTCCTTGCACCAGGCGTGAACATTCTAGCAGCATGGCCATCTGGAGTCGGACCTAATCCTAACCCGTTCATCCTTAAAAACTTCAACTATGACAGCGGCACCTCCATGGCCGCTCCTCACGTTTCTGGAATCGTCGCTTTAATCAAGTACAAACACAAGCAGTGGTCGCCAGCAGCGATCCAATCCGCCATCATAACCTCAGCCAAGGAGCTAGATCTTGACGGGAACCCCATCAAGGACGAGTGGAACAATGAGACAGCCGGTATCTACGCCACAGGAGCGGGCCAGGTGAATCCAGCCGGGGCGATGGATCCTGGTCTCATTTACGACCTAACTCACGACGATTACATCTCATACCTCTGTGGCCTAGGGTACAACGACACTGAGGTGTACTGGACAGTTGGCTATTTTGTTCAATGCTCCCGACACAAAAAGACTAGCCCGCCACAACTGAATTACCCCTCCATCGCGGTATCTCTCAGCTCAAACTCAAGGACCCAGACCGTGCAACGAATAGCGACGAACGTAGGGGATGCTAACGAGGTTTACCAGGCACGGGTCCAGGAGCCGCCCGGGGTCAGCATGTACCTTTCTACGTACCAACTTTCGTTTTCTAGAGTCCAGCAGGACAAGGACTTCAATGTCACCCTCGTCATGAGGCGATCACCAGGGAAAGGGCTAGTTTCTAGGGGGAAACTCGAGTGGGTTTCGAACAAACATGTTGTTACAAGCCCTGTCGCTGTCAGATTCGCCTAAATCCGACCAAATTTGGCGTCATTTGTGGATCATATGCACATATCACAGTAGTACTATGCTAAATAATAATAAATGTAATGATAAATTCCCCATATATTAATAGAATCTTTACTTTCCTCTTAGGGGTATTTGTTTCACTAAAAATTTTGGCATTTGGTATGGATTATAAGTTTTGGGATTATAAAGTGAGTTTTTTTATATTTTAGGATTTCATATATGATGTTTGTTTTAAGAAACTTTTTAGAATATTGAATCCCAAAAGTGCAAAAAGTGCCCAATTTTTAGAATTTGTCAAATCCTCTCAATTGGAGAGGATTTTAACAAATCTTATAAATAGGTGTGCTTATCTCTTAATTGGAGAGGATTTAACAAATCCTAAATTTATCTTTTTGTGGAAAGTAACCTCACTAAGATAGCATATTCATCATATTACAAATTTTTGGTATTCGGTAACGCTACAATTCGAGCTTGAAACAAACAAAATATTACAAATTATAGTATTTCAAATCCCAAAATATAAATCAAACAAATAACATTTTAGAAATCCCAACCCATAACAAAACGCCTATGGATTTCAAATTCCATGGTGAAATCCAGATCTTAAAATTATAGGAATTGAAACAAACACCCCCTTAACAATCGCCAGCACGTTCAGGATTTTTTGGAAGAGACCCATTTGAATCGGTCGAATTGGGAACATTTTACAGCTTAAATTAAGGAATTTTAAAAATAAAAAAAAATTGTAAAACGAACCAAGGCAAAAAGGTGTAAAGGAAATTTGTTCTCACCAGAATTGAGAGCTTTCTCAAGCTCTTCTTCTTCTTCTTCTCCGCTGGAGGAAAATCTTGATCGAAATTAATTACAAAATAGTTTGAGTCTAATTGAAGGGGCTCTTTAAAGGGGTTTTTTCGTAGCGACCACTTAGAAAATAGGATAATAATAAGGGAACCATCGTTCATTTCTAATTCATACATAATTCCTCTTTAAAATGAATTTTTACTGCGATCAATAATCTCCGGTCAAAATTTTTACTGAAATTTTAAAATTATTCTTAAAAAATCACATTCAAAGTATTTAGGTCTTGTTAGGATGCAACTCATATATTTTGAAATTGAATATTTTATGTTTTTTTTTTGAATTTTTAGTGAAAATTTATTTAGGAGGTGGTTGATTGCAACAAAACCTATTTTAAAGGTGATTATATATAAATTGAAATTGAAATTGAAAGATGATTTATGTATACTTACTCTGTGTTTAAGGTGGTTTTTAGGGGGGAAACCATTTTTAAAGCCATGGGATTGGAAGAATAGAAAATGGGATTAATTACACTAAGGTACCATGAGGTCTGATTAATTAAATGGGTGATCTTGGAATCTATGTATCTATCAGGGTGATTCTGAGATTACTAATTGTAATTATATGGGCAACCTCGGAACTAGCTTGTCATTTGGGCTTCAAGATCACCCGTGTAATTACAAATAGTAACCTTAGGGTCGTCCGTGCGAACACGCAAATTCCAAAGTCACTCGTGTATTGATATCATTCCTCATGATACCGGAATGTAATTGATCCTAAAAAAAGAAATAAAATCTAAAAAAGTAGTAGATTTTTTGTCACTACTTAAGAAATGGTAATAGAAGAATAACGTAGGAATAATACTGCTTTCTATTCTATCTCCAATTTTCTTTTTTTTGACATTATCTCCAGTAAATGTTGTATTTTATATATATTTTTAAACAAATCTCAGCTTTGATTAGGATTAATAAATAATACATCTGTAACTATTTAGCACAACTAAATATATTTTTTTAAGAAAAAGTAGGGCGACATTCCCTACTCAAAAATATATTAATACAATTTACTTTCCTCTTAGCAACTACTTAAGAAATGCAAATAGACATTCCCTACTCAAAATGTTGTATTATATATATATTTTTTGACATTATCTCCAATAAATGTTGTATTTTATATATATTTTTTAAAACAAATCTCAGCTTTGATTCGGATTAATAAATAATACATCTGTAACTATTTATCACAACTAAATATATTTTTTAAGAAAAAGTAGGGCGACATTCCCTACTCAAAAATATATTAATACAATGAACTAATCGCGATTAGTATTGTATGGATTAACCAATAATTCAATAGACTCAATTATGTTGTAACCACAAATTCGATGGACTCAATTTTACTGTAAACTTCTTGAATTTAACTGATTTTAGAGATTTCTTCTTATGAAAAGTTAATAAATACAATAGATTGAGAAATCAATTATTACAGTGATGAAAAAAGAAAATAACAAATTTCAAGGAAAAATTATGTTTAGACCCCAAAATTAAAATGCTCATGTGATCAAGTTTTTGCACTTTTGCTAATGTATTTTAGCCCCAAAAATAATTTTTCATGTGGTAGTTCTTCTCAATCCTTTTTTCCATCCCTAAAATAACAATCATGTTCTGTTACTGTTAGGATTCCAAGAGGATGTAGTGGGATTAGTGGGAAAATTGTCATATAGTTGATTTCTTTTGATTTGTAATTTGCTGGTTGCGGATAATTGTGTACAACATCTCAATTTCGACGCTACGGTTTATTTTCCTAATCTATCTTGTTTTCATGATTACGATTATAATTTTATACATTGTTATCATGTTTTCTATTCCAATTATGTGTGAGTAATTGTTTTTTTCTAGGATCGAATTAGGTTTGACTACGATTGTGAATCGATGAATTGATTCTGTTGTTATCGTTAATCGTTCAATTTGCATTATTCAATTACTAGTATCAAATTGCCTAGGGTTAATTCAATATGCCCACTGATTTGACTCATTTAGGATGTTAATTTGTACTGAAAGGTTAAATTGATGCCGGAAAATAGTAATTGAACGAGAATTGATTGATCATGAAAGTAGGTTAATGATTCTCGGGAACGTAAGGGACTAACGTGAACTTAATAAGTTTAATTTGGTTTTGCACCATGAGAATAGGTTGCTAGGCTGAATTAGGTATGACTTTTAGTTGTCAAATGAGGTTAATAGTTATCATGGTTAGTCATTCCTAATGAATTGAGTGGTTCGATAACGATTGATTAATTTGTTAGTTCAAACAGGAGTTGAAACCGAAGTTTGATCCTAGGTTCTTTTAATTGAGTGAATCCGCTGTTGATACTAGCTAGCGTGTTCATTATTTTTCTATCGTTAAAACCAAACTTCTTATTACGATTGGTTTAGATAGTCATAAAACAATGAAAAATCAGTAATGAACAACGAAGTCCCTGAGGATACGACCTTATATCACTATAACGATATACATGCACTTGCGGATTTGGGTGATCAAGTTTTTGGCACCGTTGTCGGGGACTTCGACATTGTTAATATTAACTTATTTCATTGTTTGACTAGACTAGACTTTTTCTTTCATTTCTATTTCATTTTTATGTTTGACTTATTCCTTTTCTTTCTTGTGTAGGCACCCTTGCATGCCTGCCTTGCATGCCCTGATCCCTACGACTTGTAGAACCGATCGAGTATGATCCCGAGATCAAAAGAACCTTGCGTGATATTAGAAAGTGGGTACGAGAAACTAAGGATAGTTTGAAAAACAAAAACACCATGGCAGACCACGAAGACCAAGGCAATCAAGACCGATCCTTGAAGGAGTTTGTAGCACCAACTACCAATGGGTCCCAGTCTAGCATCGTAAAGCCAATGTTGATGCCAACAACTTCGAACTTAAACCTTCACTCCTCTCCATGGTTCAGCAAAACCAGTTTGGGGGTACTCCAACCGAAGATCCAAACCTCCATATATCAATCTTTCTGGAGTATTAAGACACCCTAAAGATGAATGGAGTATCGGACGACACAATCAGGCTAAGGTTGTTTCCCTTCTCACTAAGGGACAAGGCAAGGGCTTGGCTGCAATCTCTTCCATCGGGCTCCATCACTATATGGGACCAACTTTTACAGGCGTTCCTCGCTAAATACTTCCCTCCGAGCAAAACAATCCAGTTGAGGAATCAGATAAGGACCTTCACTCAGAAAGAAGGAGAGTCATTGTATGATGCTTAGGAGAGGTACAAGGACCCTCTAAGGATGTGTCCACATCATGGGTTGGAGGATTGGCTCATAGTCATACTTTCTATAACGATCTTATATACAACACTAGGATGACCATGGATGATGCAGCTAGTGGGGCATTGATGAACAAAAGTGTACAAAACGCAAGACAACTCGTAGAGGATATAGCACAAAATTATTTTCAATGGTTGGGCGATCACTCTTTACCCAAAAAGAACGGGAGGTACAATGTAGATGCATTAGACCATACTGCTTCTAAGGTAGATGCTCTATTTCAGAAATTTGATAAGATGGGCATGAATTCAGTAGCATCTAGCTCTACTAACTATGAAATATGTGGTATTATTGGACATTCTGCTGTGAAATGTCAGATTGGAAACCCCCCCTTCCCCCGATGCACCATTATCTGAGCATGTTAATTATGTGAATAATTTTAATCAGAAAGGGGATCCATTTTCTAATATGTACAACCCATGGTAGAGAAATCATCCTAATTTATCCTATAAAAATCTACCCCGAAACCCGGTGCCACAATCTAATTTTCGACCTTCAGGTTTTCAGGCTCCTAGACTCCCTTACCCTAGTCCCCATAAATCCAACTTGGAGACCTTGATGGAGAATTTTGTGACATCCCAGAATAACAGAATGAAGAGTCCAGAAATCAGAATATGATCATGAGTGATGCCATTAAGAACCTAGCCTCTAAGGTTGATTCTTTAGCCACCCACAACAAAGTGGTAGAGAATCAAATCACTCAAGTGGCTTAGCAATCTAGCTCTTCTTCTAGATCTTCGGGGATGTTTCCTAGACAACCTGAAACCAACCCCAAGGGGTCTGTCAATGCCATCACACTTAGGAGCGGAAAAGAGTTAGAGGGACCAGTGATGAGGGGTGATCATAAGGATGTGATTGATGAGAGTCAGAAGTTAGTGACAAGTGAGAAAGAGCATGTTAGTGAGAAAGGAGAAGGTCGAGAGATATGTTGCACCTACACCTTACAAGCCTCCACTACCCTTTCCTCAAAGGCAGGTTAAGGCTAGGT